CAAGAAGAAGAACGAGGAGGTGGAGGAGGAGCAGGCGGAGGAAGAAGATATTCATCCGAACATATAGAAAAGAAGACGACAAAAATCATAAGATGTCATATTGAAGCGATTAGTAAGCTGGTGAACTAGTTGATCGATCTATTTATTCATTTTCGTCGTCGTTATTTCGAAAGTCAACAATCATCATTAATAGAAGCGTATGTTTTATTTTATTCCACAATAAGAAAAAAAAAACGAAAAATGTTAGATACCCAAGAATAATAACAAACGAAATAATCAAAGAGAAAAAAAAAACGACAGTACGATATACAAAGTGGATGTGATGATTGATCGGCATTCAATAAAAAAAAAGAAAGAAGAGAAAAAAACCTGTCATTAATATTCATGCTGTTTACTATGTCATTGAATGACTTAGAACAAGAAAACAGATGATTAATAATATGACAAATTATTTGTTTGATTTTTGTTTAGAACAATGAGCAACGAGACCAGAATGATGTACCAGGTTTTTTATTTGAATCTTGTTTTGGCCTAATACCACCAGAGATTACTCGATTACCAGTTTGATCAGTACCCTATAATAATATATGAAATTTTCATAAATATAAAAATACCAAGAAAATGATTCATACAGCTTTCTTGTCAATTTTTGCTTTGATATCTTTGGCAAGAGAAAGAAAAGCTTCATCCACATTCTAGATTAATCATCACATATTAAACATATCTATGATAATCATAATCATACTTACAATATTTCCTTTAGCACTAGTCTCCATAAACTTGATACCATATTCCGTAGCAAGCTAAAAAACAAAAAAAAACAACAAAGCAAATATTAGTAACATTCATTCTGAAGAATAATTCGAAGTTTTTTCTATATCAATAAATCCAAATAAAAAAAAATGTGATAGCAATAGCGTGGTATTCTTATTGGTTTAAAAAACTAAAAACTATTCATTTTACAATGATTTAACATCTGTGCAATAAGAAGAAAGTGAAACTAAAGAATTTTTCGATTCATCTAAACTAAATTTTGTCAGAACTAGTGTTCTACACGGGTAAAACTTTTCGTAATCGAGCCCTAATCGCACCTAGCTACCTGATATCTATACTCGATATTTAACCGGGTCTAATCGACATTCGACAAATACGTTTACAGTTATAATACGGTTTTCAAAGTTTTATTTTATATAAAAAAGTATACTATTTAGTTTCTTTCATAAACAGCAACGAAGCAAATGATTCTGGATTCAGTTGGTGTTTTTATGCTTCTAAAATTCGATCAATTGCACTAAGTATACGTTTACTTGTTGCTGATGATGTTGAAATCGAACGTACTATTGCAGCCAAATGTCATAATTGTGAATAATTTTTCCATCATGATAATATATGTTTGCTTAGTTTTGGATAATTCATTTTTCTCTCCACGTCTTCAGTTACTTTATCATCATCTACAGATCATTTTGAATTAAAAAACAGAATTCCTTTTGTAAAACAGTATCAATTTCTACTTCCTATGTCCTTCTCTCACGTACAAAAAATTACTTAGCATGATCGAACCGGTCTTCCCTTCTATACTTTTATATTAATAACAGTTTGAGACAGTAAAAGTACTTTGAAACACCGAGAACTCATTAATTGTCAGGTACGATCTTATACTCGAGTTTGACGGCAAGTTTGAAGCCGGACCCATGCTGTGGGTAGGGCAAGTTGCAGGATACTAATCAGAATTTAAACTACACACAATCTTATAAGAATCTGTTCATTGAATAATTTAAATATTAAAAAAAATAAATTGATATTATTATATTTAAATGTTACATACATGTTCACCCTTTTCGCGACTGACTTGTCTTTTATCTTGCATGTCACATTTATTTCCTATAAGCATTCGTTCAACTTCAGCTGATGCATGCTATAAATAAAACAATATTGAAACTTTTTTTTCTTCTTAATGACAACTTTGTTTCTATACTTCTTCAATATTACGAATCCAATTTTTAATATTATCAAAACTTTTTTCACTTGTGATATCATATACCAACATAATTCCCTAAAAAATCATAATTTTGTTGAAATAAAAAAATATGTCTTCTTTGTTATTTACCATTGCTCCACGATAATAAGCTGTTGTTATTGTTTTAAATCGTTCCTATATATATACATGTATTTAGAATTTCAATAAATACAAGATTCTAAATTCTTACTTGTCCCGCTGTATCCCTACAAAAATAAGTTCAGAAGTGAAAGATAAAATAAATTTTCTAAAAATCTAACATACCAAATTTGTAATTTAATTTTTCGTCCATCAAGATCAATTGTTCGTATTTTAAAATCAATGCCTAATTAAATATTAAAGTTATTTTAGACAACTGTAGAATAAATCAATTACCTATAGTTGAAATAAAGGTTGTACTAAATGCTGAATCACAAAAACGCAAAAGCACACATGTCTATAAATAAGAAATGCCTCTAATTATAAGTATACTTCAAAAAAAAAAACAAAATATCAAACTGACCTTTCCAACACCACTATCACCTTAATAAACAAAAAAATATATATAAATAGATGTTGTAAAACAAAACAATACATACCAATCAAAAGTAATTTGAATAAATAATCATAGGCTTTAGCCATTATTTCTCTTAGATATAATATTATGTGATAATATGTTAATGTCGATCCATGTGGTGTTTCATATATCTAGAAAGACAAAACAACACCTGCTAATATTCTTTATCTAGTATATCTATAAATAGAAAAAAAATGAATAGATTGTTCTAAGACAAAAGAACAATGCAGATTGATGGTACTTCTTTTTATCGTCCTTCAGGCATGGTCGATCAATCAACCAAGCGAGTTTAAGAGGAAAGTAGCTATTTTATCACGTTATAGGGCATTCATTCATTCATTCTTTTTTTTTTCGCATGAGTCATAGTTATGATGAAGTATTTTCATATTTATGGTAAAGTTTTGACCAACAGAAAGATAAAGAATTTATATACTGCGAACTAGCGCTGTCTATCATCAAGTATTAGATGATTAATGTCTCGAGAAGACAAGCGCACAGAAAAAAAAATAAGTAAAAAAAACTTTAAAAGATTTAAACTCAAATCTTTATGAGAAGAACTTTGTAAATAATGTCTTAAAGTTTGTTTAATAAGTTTTTCCAGAGATTGATAAATTAAAGAATATTGCATACAGAGTCGTCTCCTTAACGCATATACCAGTAAATAGGAAACTAGTTAATTCATATTAATGTCATAGAAGACTAAAGATCTTCTATTTTCGAAAGAGAATTAAAATTCAATAAGAAAGATTTATATCATCTTTCCATTTTTTACTTTCAAAACATATTGAAGATAAAAATATTTTCAGTAAGATGATTCATGATCACACTAATCTAACATTAAGAAATTTGTCTCATTTATTGTTTGTTGTTCTCGGTTAGTCAATATTAACTCTACTTACATTGATTATCAGTAGTGATGTGCACGATCGCTAACAAAAAGTTATCGAAACCAACATAAAGCTCTGTCCCACACATCTCTAGTCATCAGATATTTTGATTAAATCAAAGACTTTGAGAAAGAAACTTCGCATATTGATGAAAGACAACCTTTAACTTACTACATATTAGTGCTATTATTTTTTTGTCATATTCAAAACGAATTCTGTCCTATACGTGATGACATTTTTATCAATATACGTATGGAAAATATAAAAAAACACTAACTAGTGAACACTTCTCTAACGTGAGCACAACACATCCTAATTATGAATAATTTCAAGACTGACGTAGTGGCTTTTGCCGGATATGTCACTCTCTAATATAAATACCTCGTTATTCTGAACAATGAATACTTTTTTTGCGGTCACTCTTCCTATTATAGGATGTACAGTTTTTTTGACTTCTTTCCGCTGTCTATCGCCTGTTGCCTATCAACTACGAGCATGTAAATTTTATGCACGATTCGACTGGTCTACATGTGAAACAACAGAAGACACCACGTTACGAACTTAGTTTGGAAGAAAAAAATAGAATTACTTAATGAGTGAGAATTATATATAGATAGATAAATCATAGTAGAACATAAAAAACAATAGCTTTTGTGTTTTAGTTGAATAGTTTTTTTCAATTTAAAACATTTAGATAAAAAAACAGATATTCTCGAACAGTTTCTTTATTTTACAGCAAAACGTAAATCAATTTTCTCAATTGAACGAATACTTTTTTAATAGTCTCGATAGTATTCATGATAGGGAAGTTTTACTGTATTTTAGAAATTGAATTTCACTTTCTATCTATTTCTTTTATTATTATAAATTATTTTTATAGATCAGAACAAAGAATAAATTACTGTTTTTTTACCGAAGTATATTACTTGTTGTTTATCACCAAAGTAAATTGTACCAATATGTTTAATATAATGAAGCGTCAACACCTGTTCTATGATATTGTATTATGTCATAAATTAATAATACAATGCAAAGAGAAAGAATGAAATAGACTTTGAAAAAAAAAGAGACTAGACTAATGCGCATATAACACAAATCATATGATAAGTTAACCGATCTATTTCCAGCGGCATCTATTCATCGTACAAATGTATATTTTATGGATATTTCTCGACAGCTGACTAATCAATACCGTTGTTGCTCTCAGGTGTAAATTTTCCTTGAGTATTGCATACATACTTGAAAAAGTTGCATATAATTTAAGTTAATATTAATTTTCATTTATACTAAGCTTTTTATAGTCTAATATGGATTATTCACCTAGTTTTAGTGATCCACATTCTCATCAGGTTTGTTATTTTATTTTACTTGAAATTCTAAATATGATGTTCAGAATGATCAATATGCATCACCTCTGTCTTTACCTCCATCCGCAACGCCACGCAGTGTTGCTCCCAGAGATGATACACATGCAACTACATCAAATGATAACAGACCTCATCATCGTCCATCCATTGCTTCAAAAAAAAGCATACCAGATATGGGTCCACCATCAACCGTTACTTCCTATCATCTTAGTTCAGTAGCACCATCAACACCTTTCTCTGCAGCAGCAGCAACACCATTTACACCACGAACAGCTGATACCTCACGTGTTCAACCAAGTTTACAGTACAAAAAAAAAATTTTTTGTATTTTATAAATATTTTTTTTGTTTCACAGAAATATAGTCTCAACTGTAAGTCTTGGTTGTCCATTAGATTTAAAACGTATTGCACTTCAAGCTCGTAACGCTGAATATAATCCAAAACGTTTTGCTGCTGTTATTATGCGTATTCGTAGTCCACGAACAACAGCTTTAATATTTACTTCAGGAAAAATGGTTTGTACTGGTGCTAAAAGTGAAGAAGATTCTGTTCAAGCAGCACGTCGTTATGCTCGTGTTATTCAAAAACTTGGTTTTCCAGTAAAATTCGAATCTAAAAATTTACTATTTCTTTATTCAAAAAAAAAACAAAAGAAAAATTTTGTTTTTAGGCTAAATTTCTCGATTTTAAAATTCAAAATATGGTTGGTAGTGCGGATGTTAATTTTAAAATACGACTTGAAGCACTTGCATTAAAACATGCTACATATTGCAGGTTAGAAATTATATGTTTGAATGAACATTTTTTAAGTTTTCGTTTGAAGTTATGAACCTGAATTATTTCCCGGTTTAATCTATCGAGTCATTCAACCGAAAATTGTTTTACTTATTTTTAACTCTGGTAAAGTTGTACTTACGGGTAAAAAAGCAGGAATATTTATGTGCTTTTTTTTGCATAAAATAATTTTATTTAGGTGCAAAAGAACGTCGTGAAATTCATGAAGCATTTGAACGTATTTATCCAATATTAAAAACATTTCGACGAGCCTCTTGAGTAGATTTTTATTTTTTACTGTATAGAATTTTTTTTGACGGTGATCTATTTTTCATCTCTAAATACTTAACTTATATTTCGTTTCATACGTAACCTTGTTTTTCTATTGTTTTAGTTTTCACTTCTCTGTAATTGTAAGATAATAGTATGCAGATTTCAGTTGTTTCTATTTACAATAAATAAGGAGAAGAAAATAAAAGTTACATTTAATGATTAAATTTAATATCTTTGAATTAGTTTCTATGCACAAGACGAAACAAATCGTTGTTCTAGAAAAATATTCAAACTATTTTTAATAATGAACACATTATTGGTTAATATAATAATCATAGAAAATAGGTGGTATATTGCCCAACATAAATTCTTTTGAGTATTAATATTGTAGTAAATACAAGGAGTTTATATTATCAATGATTTATTAACAACGTGATTGAACAGGCAAAGAGTGAATTTGATTTTTAATCACATTGAATTTCGATTAAAAACAAAACTCTTTTAGTATACAACAATATCACTTTCTGTTTCTGTGCTCTATTCTGAAATACAGTAAATTACTCAATCATGATCGAATCAATATTCATTCCTTTACTTTTAATTAAATAGCAGTTTGAAAAAGTAAAAATATTTTCAAGCGTCTAGATCTGATTAATGACAAGATCGAATGCAGGCACGATTTCATTCTCGAACCTGGACCAACTGGACGACTTTTCACCCGGGCTCGGCTGGGTTGAAGGGTACTATTAAGACAATGTAGTTTTCTCTTCGATAGTTTTCATACAATCAATCATAGTAATTCAGATCATAAAGTATTGATAATCTTTTTATACTTCTTGGTTCAACAGCAAACATAGCTATAAAGAACAATGAAAAAAAGTTGCTCATTTGGCAACTCAAACGTCTCTTTGCACCTTCATTCTATATATTTATTTAATTCTCTTTTGTTTAAAAGAGCATGTCACGATGTAGAGCATGATAAAGCTCTTTTTTTTATTTCTTACTTCTTAAGAAGAGAAAAACTTAATGTTTCAGGGAAAAGATGGTATTCTTATTATAAAATCACTCTATTATGTAATAGTAACAAAGCTTAAATCAAAAAAGGTATATTGTTATGCCATACATCTTAACCTGCTCTTTCAAATAAAAAAAAAAAAGTAATTGACCGTAACGAAAATCCTTCGAGAATTCTGAAATACATATTAAAAACAAACATAAGAGAGAAAACGAAAGAGATTTTCCACTTTATCTGAAAAAAGCATATTATTCAAGTAGAAGATAATAGAATCTTTGGAAAAAAAACCATGTCATTCATGAAAAACCAGGCTTCTCAATTATCTCCCGATGCATATATCTCAATTTTCACGTTGTTTACCAAAATTAATTTTTTTGGAGATGTTCTTCACATAGATTTTTCTTATTTTTTTTGTTTTATCTATATCACTCTCTTCTGATCAAATATTTCTTCCATATTTATTAATAAAAGACGACTAATCATACATAAAAACGTATACAAGAAGATACCAGTACAAAGAAAAACAAAAAAAAAGGAACACAAACACTATAGAATATCTATGTATAAACAAAAGAATGAATTAAACAAACAACCGGATTATTGAGTATACATAAATCTGACTGTATAAAACAGCAAGAAGAAAAAAAAACAAATGAAATTATTTTAAAGTTTTGTAGCATCCTGATTCGACGCATAGAATAGAGAATAATCATCAAGCGAAGTTGTCAATTGATTCGTTTCATAAATATAATTTGTTTCTGGTGCCCAAACATGTCTTGGTTCATAACAAAGATTTGTCATATTTGTTGTACATAATGAATCATCACCTTCAATTAATAATGGTGGTGGAGGTGGAGGTAATATTGGTGGAGCTGGTGGTGGTGGTGATGATGGCATATATGCATCAATAAAATGTTGAGGTTTAGATGGATATTGCATATGACGTGATGAACCTTTTAATTGATCACTTATTGATGCTGTACAAAATTCTTTACTACCAAGAAAACCAGATGATGATGATGATGTTGGAGAATAAATTGATGATATACCAAGTGTTTTAAAAGTATCTATATTATTTTTTAACAGATTTATTAAAAAATTACAATAAAATAAATTAACTTACTATTCCAATAAGTTCGTTTTGTTTTTGATGTTATTGTATAAAGAAGAAATATAAAAAAGCCTGTTAGAGAAGCAGATATACAAAAAAATATTTGAAATAATATACGTATTGGTCCAATTGTAAATAAACCAAATATCCAAGTTAGATCGAAAACAATAAAACAACATAATGTAATAAAAAATCGTGATAAACGTTGAGATTCAATTGTTTGTGTACTACGCATATTGTGTCCTTTTTTCTCACATAATAATGAATAAGCAACTATTGAATAAAGAATACTATTAATAAGAATATACAAAACGATTGGTAAAACAAATGATAAATAAAAAGGATAACTTGATAACCAACAACTAGAAAAAATTTAAATGATTATTGTCTTAGAAAAAAAATAATAATATATTCTTACATTTGTTCGTTTCCTTTTGTGTAATGCATTGGATCAAGAACAAGAACGATGGCAATAGGAATCAATGGAACAACTATAAAAATCAAAATCTAATTCAAAATTATTGTTTTTTCTTTCATGCTTTCAAGAAAATCGAAGCCTAATCTTTGTAATATATCGAGAAAAGATTGGCGAACTTGAGAAATATATTGTTTTACAGTTTAAGATAGAGTTCTAACCGATCCGATCCAGCTAGGTTAAAAAAACCCTTTTAGACCGTTAAAAAACCGGTTTTTAAAAATCTACAGCAAGAAATACCATGCTATAGTCTTATATATCTGTTTAGTTTCTCAAAGATGAATATGTGACATACATATGTATATATGTCGAAAAAACGACTTATGGACCCATCAACTGAGTGCCAAACTCCAAATCTTGAACTTTTCCCACTCAAATTTTATCGGCGAACTCCATGTTTCTCATCGAACAATATTTCAAACCCAAATTGAACCTTAAAAAAAGATATATGAAGAACAGAAGAAAATAAGAAGGATAAATTTTTAAATAACACATCGATTATTACGATAAGAGTGCGCAAACTCACTCGCAATGAGTTTTGTTAGAAAAAAAAACTGCATAACATCTATAAAATATTTTTCAACCGGTAAAAACTTATCGGTTCGGCATCGAATCGGTTACAACTTTGGCTAAAAGCATCTTCCATTTCGGATGTTAAAATTAAAATTTTTTCGATTTTCGTCTTTTCAGAACTAAAATAGCTTCAAAGTCTCCTCTATCAAATGCCATATGAGTGACAACCCTTCGTCGTTAGTTAATAATTTTATTAAACCTAAGTTCTGAAACTTATAGCAGAAAAACTTGCGCTGCAGTTATCCTTCGTATGCAAAACTTTCCTAATGACTATTTCAAAAGATGCTGAAAACATGGATCATAGACTTTTGACACCACGATTTTACGATCACTTTAGCTGTGTAAAAAATAGTTCTGATATATACAGAAAGGGTTTTTTTTTGCTACTCTCAAAACCAATCTTTGAACGAAAGAAGTCGGCTCGCCGTTCTCCCACACGGTACCTTCAATCAAGCTCAAAACTTTTTTTTTATGAGTATTTTGGTCAAACTGAAGTGTGTGCTTTCTTGTCTTCAAAATGCCATGCCTACAAAATTCGACAACCTTGAAAAATATATTTCCACTGAAAAAAAGACGTTCTTGATGGTGCTCCCAATATTTTGCTTCTACTGAGCTCTAGATACGATATTTTTGAAGACACATTCCAATTTGATCCTAGTACCATAAAAACAATTGTAGCTAGAAGAAGTCAAGTAAGGAGTTTTGCAGAGAGAAGAAAACTTCTGGTTGTTTTTGACCTTCGCAAAGTCCATGTCTCCTTGAAGAAAGTATCTGAAACTTTGAAGGCTATGATAACTTTTGCTTTGTTCATTTAGATCTATCTACCTTAAAAGTTTCATTATTTTTTTGTGGAGCCGCTTTTGAAAAACTCTAGAATGAAGATCCCCGTAAGACTCTCCTTGAAAACTGATCTTGGGCCAAACACGTTCAATTTGCTTGACATATTCACTATATGTTAAAATTATAACGGAAAAGCTACGGTAAAATTGTCTGCTCTATATCATGACATCTTCGGGCGACATTGAACTAACAGAAGTACAAAAGCTTATTTAGCAACTCAAAATTTTCTGTGCACCTTTATTCTATATACTTCATTTCTTGTTTTTAGAAAGAACATGTCAAAATGCAAGGCATGACAAAGCTCTTTTTTCAATTCTTACTTCTTAAGGAAAGAAACATCCAATGTCTTGAAAAAATGGTACTCTAATTATAAAAGTACTCTATTATGTAATAGTAATAAAGATTAAATCAAAACAGGTAGTTTATCATGACCTACATATTGACCTGTTCTTTCAAACAAAAAAAAGACCAACTAACTATGATGTGAAGCTCCTTCGAAAGTTTCAGGATACGCGATTAAAAAAAAAGCATACAGAGAGAAAAATACTAACTAGTTTTTTTTCCAAAAATGTACATTTTTCTAGCAGATCATAAAAGAAATTATCAAATAATTTTGCAGAAAAGGAAATATCAAATAAAAAATCATGCCTCGGGCTACTTGTCCAGGAACTTATCTTAATATTCGAAATTGACTTTTTTTTGAGGGCGGAAGGACTTAATGAAACACGATGTGACTTTTCTCTATTATGACAACGTTTTCTTTTTCATTTCCTTAAGATAAGACTTTGAAAGAAATTTTTCTTCTGTTTGTTTGACTTACGTTGCGAAAATGCTGCTGCTTTTCTTGTAAATGCTGAAATTGACTTTGGAAAAACTTTGACAAATAATAAATATTGTATTAAAGCCATAATAAACATCCAACTAAATGATGATAATATAAAATAATGTAATAAACTGGCAATAATAATGCATAATAAATCTTTTAATTGATA